TCTCCCTCTCTCTCTCTCTCTCTCTCTCTCTCTCTCTCTCTCTCTCTCTCTCTCTCTCTCTCTCTCTCTCTCGCGCATCTTTACTAATGGTACTACCCACCCCTTTTCCACACACACACATCCACTCCCCCCTCCCCCTCGAAAAGAAAAGAAAAAAGAAAAGAAATACATTCTTGAAACAAAAGAACAAGGGTACTTCTTCCCTTAATTTACTGAGGGGATTCCAGACGGGTCAATAATGTGTCTGTCGGCATTTCACAGCGAAGAATACAAACCCTTGCACTTCTGCTAACACTTCGAATGTTAGCAAATGAAGGATTTAACCATCGTCGTCAACTCATTTTGTGCTAAACTATTTTGCTAGAAGCATTGTGAAAAACAGTTGGACATTGATCACGCCCTTGTCCGTATTATTTCTCACTATCTGATGGGATTTTTTTAGGACGACAAATTGAGGGCAATAGTAGCCACAGCGGAACATGGCTTCTTTTTTAACGTCAACGTAATTCTAAAACATTGTGGCAAAAAGACATGCTCATCGACAGGCATACAGAAAGCAGAAAGATTATCAATTAATTTTGTAGACAGAAAGAGATACATATACTCAACAGATGAGGGATGCGTTTCTCAAGCCCTGCATTGCTATTGCTTTAGTTGTGAACATCGTTCTGATATCGTGGCAAACCATGCACACCTACACAACACTCGGCTACATCAGCCAGTTCTGAACTGCTCTCTAAAAATGTCACAAAGGTTCATGCAAGTACACTATTTGACATTAGCTCTAGATGTGTTTTTTTTAATCTTGTTTTTATTTTCTCTCGTTTCCTTTCGTCCTTCACAAAATTGCAAGAGTGACACGATGTGACCCAATGCGTTGAAATCGCCATCCCAACTTTCACTGTTTGACTAAGGACTATGAATGAAGCTTGTCGTTCAGTATTACCAAAGATGGTACATAACAAGATGGTCCACTTAGCCAAAAAAGTGTCCGCCGGAAGTCACAACAAAAGTAGGGTAATTCTGTTCGCAAAGGGTGCGCATTTGCGAAGAGGGCTCCACCGAATTTTGAGGACACTTTTTTAATCCCTCTTGTTATGTTAGACTCTTTGGTATTACGTAATATCGCTTTAAAAAAGACATCTTTAAACAATGAAACAAACTTCTGAAACACAGGCAATTTTATAATATCAATGCGTTAGACCTGAACCTCTCAAAGGATAGGCCTTACTGAAGGCAAAAACACAAAACCCATGAAACACAGTAGCAAGTACATGGAAAAGCGTTTCGTCTTCTGGTGTTGAAATTGGTACGTAATAAAATCCATACCACCTACGCTTTTACCAAGAATAAAGCCAAATTAATATACATATACGATTACATGTGTTCGCGCACCCGAGTGCGCACGCACGCACACACACACACACACACACACACACACACACACACACACACACACACACATACACACACACACACACACACATACAACATAGACAAACACTTAGAGACACAAATAGTGTGCAGACCCAAATATTCAAGTGTAAACGCGAAAACTGTGACTATATAATCATAATTCCAACACTGAAAATGACAATGTTTGCTGTTTGAAATGGCACGGATGTCCCACCATTTTTTACATCATCTCTATCATCATTATTGACCATTGGAAGGGTCTCTTGCGCAAGGCACAGGAGATAATTTCCCATAACTCACTATCTGTGTGCGAAGGGTAATTGAGGAATTGTTTATTAAGTGTTCGGTTTTGTTGGGAGTTTTTTGGGGGTTATTTTTTTTTGGTTTTTTTTTTTTGGGGGGGGGGGTTACAACATAATGTACACAGAGCTACAATTGAAGTTGTTTCAGAAAAAGAAACAATCCACAAGTCTTGCGTTTGGTACTTTTTCGTTCAGGTGGCATTTCCAGATTATGTAAACATTGTCGCCCGCGCCGGTCGTAGAAAAACATACAGTATGTTGTAAATTATCAAGACATGTTTTTTCGGTATAAACGAGACAGATTACAGTAATAAAAGTTATTAAGAGAATTTTTTGTTTAGGGAGAATTTTGTAACTCCGTATGAGTAGATAGATTGGAATGTTTATCCCTTGACCTGTTTCTGAATTTTGAGTATAAATATTAGAGCGAGACCAAGTGTTTGCCATCGCCGCATTTTGTGCTACCAGAAAACGTAAGACCAGTCGTCCCAAGATCGTCAGTCCTCTTCACCATGCAGACTCTGACTGTTTTCCTCGCTTGCGTTGCCCTCTTTGCAGGTACGTCTCTTTAATAGTGTCTTCATAGCTCTTTTCGTTTACTAATGTCATAATCTAGATGCCATTCTCTTATTAATGTCATTTTATGTTTCTCGTGAGGTAATACGTTTTAGCTTCTTTAAAGCAGAATGTTGAAAGTGTTGTCACTTCAGCCTTTATCTGAACTACTCCAACGTAGAGCCTGCTCTGAGTACTTAAATAACATTCATCAACAATTTCTTTTTCGCCACCATCGCATTCTTTTGGGGTTCTTCATTAGTCTTCTAAGACATCTGGTCAAAGTCACATCTGATAGCTAGTACATATCGGTGGGGACAGCACAGACGCATTGCTACCTTTCATTAAACCCTCCCCCCAAAATATGTGTTAGAAGTGAGTAGAAAAACGTGTTGATAGCATGTCAATGTACTTGAATCAAGACACCCCCTCCTTTCCACGGATGATGGACTCGAATCTAGACCCCCCCCCCCTTCTAAAAACAATTAAAAAAATATAAAAAAAAGCAGAATCTCTTGTTTTTGATGTGTGTATCTCAACACTAGTCGAAATGTAGATTATTATACAGACAGCTTTACTCTTGGCCCCACCCTTTACCCCTGCCCTACAAAGACACATCTGTGCCAAAGTAGGTTGATGAAAATGGGTAACCGACTCCTCAGTCTATACTTTGCTTTTGGATTTTGAGGAGCCATAACATTTAAATTGTGTCTGTGCAATGTAGCCTCTCATTTTTCCTGATAAATGATCCAGTCAAATGGGAAGTTTCATATACATGTGATGCAAATGTCTTTTAATAAACGATTACAGACTGTGTTGTCTTCTCTTTGCTTGCACTTTAATATTCAGAATTTCCTTTCGGCATTTAGCAGTAAGCCAAACCAGGTTCCTTAAAGAAACAGGCATGACTTTTTAGACACGCTCTGCTTAAATAGAAATTTAGGACTGATTCGAGCGCTGAAGCTATCTAAGAGAAAGTCAACTATTGTAATTGCAATATTATAATCAAACCCGTCAGGCGCGTTCGATGCCTTTTGATGATCATTGCAACATGATCTACCTGTAGGGCTGTTTCAAGCACGTGTGTTGTGTCAAACTCTCTAAATAACATTCCGGTACCAGTTGCGCAGTGAATGGATAAAAGATTAATATCATATTTAGCATTAAAGTTAATCGTCATTTCCTTCACAGGTGCACATGCTTGCTCTGACGACACAAACAGGCTCGATGCTTGCTCACAGCAGTTTGAGTCTGAGGCTAATGCCTTGTTGCCAGACATCGAAGCTGGTGTGAGATCACAAACTGAAATCTGCCCGTACGTATTTTATAACAAAGTCTTTTCATTGCTTTGCAGAGAATAACGGTGGTCCTGAGCAGGGAAGGATAGAAGATATGGAAATATTTTGGGTACATAATATACAAGGTTCATTCCGAATTAAAGGTTGATAATATACTCTCTCGATGCAGATATCAAAGCCTGTTGGCCTTTTTGCTTAACATAAGCTCCCCTTTCTTCACAAAAAAAATCTAGCCAATGACGGCGTCTGTCTTTCTCCCCTTTTCGTCTTCTCTCCTGCTCCTTCTTAACTCCTCCCCCTCCCGTCTTCTTCTTGTTTTTCTTGTTGTTGTTGTTGTTGTTGTTGTTGTTGTTGTTGTTGTTGTTGTTGTTCTTCTTCTTCTTCTTCTTCTTCTTCTTTTTCTTCTTCTTCTTCTTCTTCTTCCTCTTCTTCTTGCTCTTTTCTTCTTCTGGCTCTCAACCTTCTCTTCCTAGTCGGCATCCTTCAATTTTTCCTTCTCTACCAAAATGAAGAAGACTATACTGCTAATTATAGACGGATTTCTCTTGAAATAATTAAAGCATGCACAACAGTCGACCATTTTGTTTGAACACATTCAGTATTCTCACTTAATTCTCTCTCCCGGTTAGTCTTGCCCTGGAGCTGAAACAGTGTATGTTGAGAGTCGTGGACAACTTCTGTGACGACATGATGAAGATGTTCCTGAGACCAATGGTCATCGACCTTATGGACACCGCTATGGAGGAAGTGGGCTGTGGATTTATGGCTCGCCGCGGCACCCGTAAGTTGGCATCATGTTTTTCATGCGTTTGATTATTTACCTTTTGATTTTACAGAAGATAAAAGCCCCAAGCATCCAACTTAGACACGGAATAAACTGACAGTTTTTTCCTCTGCTCGGAAATCAACCCCTAAACATCACGCTCATGGTTTTTCCAACAATATGAATTAGCATACTTTTTTTAATGACGCCCCTACGACTCATCAGCATTATCTGAATGTTTTATTTGGAATCTGATAAATTCACTTATGGATTATAGCCTTTTATTTTGTTGTCTTATTTAATATGAGGACAGAAATTGCTATGACGTTATATTTTATGGTGAGTGTTAAATAGCGGCATTCGATTCACAGTATGTGTTCTTATGTGAAAAGAAAATATGTGTCTTTATGTTGGCTTATTGGAGCCTTAAACTTCACCCTGGGCTGTGTCTTTACAAAATCACAATCAAACTACATCGTTTGAAAGCATTAACCAACTTTCTCTTCGGTGTTGTCTGGCAGTATATTGCATTTTGTTTATATTTCTCATCCTTTTTCTTTTACGCAGAGAAACTGGTGGCGCGTTCTCTGGCATTGGCAAAATACGGAGGCCTCAAGAAATAGACAGCGCTGAGATAAAGTTTTTCCATACAGTATCAACACTTCATGAAACGAAATGATAATTTATGAAATAATGGTTTAATCAGGAATAAATTAATAAGGTACATAATTTGTTTGAGTCTTTTCTTTTTTTAAAGTATTAAAATGCTGTTTTCGTTAAATTGATTTATACAGCGTCCAGGTTTTCTTTAAACCATACTGCAGTGCTCAATGCACAGCTTATCATGTCACCGTTGGCGCTCTTTATGTCTCCCTAGGTTCATGTCAGAACGAAGGGGAAGAGCACTGATCTAGTGCTTGTCATTGTAATAGTTATTGCTATTGATGTTGTTGTTGTTGTTGCTGCTGCCGTTGTTGGTGTTTTTTGTCGTTATTGTTGTCGCTTCTATCCTCGTCATCATCGTCACCGATTCGTTGTTGAAGTTCAATGGTCTGGTGGATACCCGTAATTTTATTCTTCCTACATACCTCCTATTGATTTATTTACCTATGGCATAGAGAAAGATGGGAAGTGTTTGTTCATAGCCTATACCCTGATGCAGGGAGAGAAAGGCTCGTACCCAAGGCACACACTATAGTCCCCCCCCCCCCCGCTTATTAATTTTTACATTTGTTGTGCACCCCCCCCCCCACCCCCCGCGGCTCCTTATTCCATACCCCACGTCTATTATTTTCCTGCTTGCCACGACCGACGATCATGTGAAACATTATATCTAGAATCTAGATATCTGAATAAAACTTCTTTTTGTTGTTATTATAAACGGCAAATTATCCTCAGTATTAGTACCGGTACCGGGTTGGCTACCTCAATTTTGTGCGTTTTGAAAACTTTTGTACATTGATTTGTATTTTTAATGAAACTAGTTTGTTCCTAAATGGGGAAAAGTTGTCACTAAAGTTGTGACTAAAATCACTAAAATTTCATGATCTCTTGTTCCTTAATTCACTGAAGGAGAAATAAAACATTTGTTCTTACTAGTACAGGGGTATGAGTTTGAATGTACCAGCACCCCACCCCCATTTTTTTACCCCCCCCCCCTCCCCGTTTATTAATTTAGGACCACTTGCCCCCCCCCCCCCCCCCCCGTTTATTCCTACCCATCCTTTTATTCGATACCTTAAAGTACATACCTGTCACAAACTTTGGAGACATTTACACTAAGGCTTGGCCTCCTGAATTTGGGCTGGAAGTTCAACTGATATCAGACATATGCGAAACGTCAACAATAATAACCGATACAGGTCTTTTATACATTTTTCCCTTCCATCTTCTTTCTATAATATTTGAGTAAGTTTCTCCGCTCAATACCACGTATTTTATAGCTCCGACCTCCCTTCCGAGTGTTTGAAGATCCTTCCCTAGTTTTGCTGCTTAAGAATAGATCGACAAACGTTTTCAAAAATGACCAAACGTGTTCAAAAGAGATGTAAGACGAAAATATTACCCTTTGAAACCACCAAGGAACAAGGGGTTGGGCAACTGAATCATTCTCCGTTTTACTGGCTGTTGCATTCTTTGGAGCCTTTGACTCAAGGGACTCAAGTGATTATGTTCCATTAGCTTGCAACTTTCCCTTATTCACGTAACGGGCAAATTCAGTGATGTTTCATTTCGTTGAATTCTAATCTCGCTTGGAACCCTTTTCACATTGACTATGACTTGCCTCTATTCACCAATTGAACAACGACTCTCCAAGTGCAGAACCTCTTAGAGAGAGAGAGAATGAGAGAGAGAGAGAGATAGATAGAGAGAGAGAGAGAGAGAGAGAGAGAGAGAGAGAGAGAGAGAGAGAGAGAGAGAGAGAGAGAGAGAGAGTTTTCTAGATACCTTGCAACCTTTGAATTTATTCCATATGGAGCAACGGTCTATAACTGAAAAGAACACTTTCAGTTAAATAATTTAAAAAATAGTATCCTGGGCACTCAAAATTGCAACCCTTACTTTCTTTTTAGCTCGCCCATGATCTAGATTGTAGCTATGGCTCTATAGTTTTCATTGATGTAAATCTGAGGAGTCTTGGGTTTCCAGAACGTTCTAGTTGACGAATCACTTTTGAAATCAGGACGCCTATGAAATGTCAAGTTTATTTAAAGTACAGTCACAGCACATGAAAAGAGAGCGCCCTAACCCCCCCCCCCCCCCACACACACACACACACATACGCTTGAAAAAAGCATATGTGCCTTTGCCAATCCTTGACTAAACATACTCTCTTACAGCTTATCTACTTCTTAATAATGATCTTAGCAATCAAATTATGTGTATGTGTGAGGTGGTTTGGGGGGGGGGGGGGTAAAGGGGTGCAAGCCACAAGACTCAGCAACCAGCTAACTCCATACCGCTCTGTTCTCTCATTCTCTGAGGGCGTTGCACACCTTTTGTCCTGTTCTTTCTTAGATGTTGTTCCCCCACCTCTTACTCTGCCTACCAGTCCTTCCGAATTGTATCTTGCCCCACACGATTGTGCTTATTATTCTTGAATTGTCCGAAAGGTTTCTCCTGTATTTACTACGCGCACTTTTAACGTGTACACACACAATATACTCCAGAACGTTCTCTCTATCACTTTCTCCCATATTCACTCGTGCACGCACCCTTTCACACACACACACACACACACACACACACACACACACACACACACACACACACACACACACACACACACACACACACACACACACACGCGAGCGCACGTGCAAACAACCACACAAGCATGCACACACGCACGCACGCACGCACGCACGCACGCACGCATACACGAACAAATTCATAGAAACTGAGAGGAAAGGGAGAGGGGGAGAGAAACAGAGACAGAAAGAGGCACATGCATATTGGAGCACAAATAATAATATATCGACAACATTTTCTAGTCACTTAAAAAGCACACACAGACAAAGAAAGGAATGGGATCCTATGGGAATAAAAATCCATCGCAAGTGTTATTGACAGCGTCAAAACTCTCGGGGCAGAATATTATAATAAAGATAATCAAAGTCATTATCAATGTGTTGAGGCCATCCGAAGATTGGTTTTGACATTTAGCCATGGCCCAAACCGATGCCAGATTATCAGAACTATGCCGACAAAAATTACTGTTACCAGGCCTGTCAAAATGACCATTATGCTTAGAAGGGTTGCTGGGTGCAACCACGAACTCAGAGAATGTTTAAACCTCTAACATCCTAAGACAATATATAACTGTCTGTACATGCATGACATGGTTTTTTAAAACTTTTAATAGTAAAACCTGTTCAAAATGATAAAGCTGAATTGACGCAGCTATTTGGGAAAAGATGATCACTTAAAGTTACGTATACTTCATATTTCTTTCCTTTTATTTTATTTGAAAAGTCATCACAGCTATAACGCAGTTTATCTTACCAATTAAGAACGATTTGGAGCCTATCAAGGTGTCTAATTAATCATTTAATATATCTCTCTTCACTCTAACTCTCTCTCTCTCTCTCTCTCTCTCTCTCTCTCTCTCTCTCTCTCTCTCTCTCTCCCTCACACACACACACACACACACATACACACACACACACACACACACTCACACACATCATTATTATCCTCTATACTACCGAGGCCGCCAGTACGTAGAGAATCTATAGTACATGAACCCCGAAACAGGATAGCATAAACTTATCCAAAGAACTTCTAGTATGTAGATACATGCCCACACAAATCTTGATACACAGATCAATAATTTTATTTACAGCTCTAGTATACGAGGTTTTTTTTTCTAGCTTTATAGTCACAATTTCTTTGCATATGGCCATCAAATAGCAGCTGCTATTTGTTAAAAGGGCATTGACATTCCAGCAGTTCACATATTATTATATCAGTATTGTCTATATAGTCAATTAGACCGCACTTGCTCTCTGGCGTACAGTAAATTCCATGCTGTACTTAACTGCTGGGAAAAGTTTGCCCAACCTGCGGAATCGCTTCTTGTCCGAGTGAGTAAAAGGCCAGCAGAGTGGTAAAGCGTGTCAGGGATATGCTATTCATTTCGGCCAACTTGTACTTCGTGGCAGAAAACTTTTGACCGGCTATTAAGTTGATTATGATTATACTTGGCTGACTTGATGACAGTTACTGATGATATGAAATTAGCTGTAAAGTTGCAAATTACTGAGTTGGCTTTTCTACCCGTTATATTCCAATATTCTGCTTCGTATAGAAAAGGTCATAGAACCCCTGGTCAAGGACAGCCAAAGGTTTCGAAATATGTTTCGGTAGTAGTATAAATATCGGGATATATGGTCATCGTTCACAACAACTCTTACTCCACCTGACAGCGCCAGACCCCTGCCTTCTGATTACCCGCCATCTTCAACATGCAGACAACTGCTCTATTCCTCGTCGCTGTTGCCCTGATTGCAGGTAATTAGACCTAGCAAAGTTGTTGTTGTGTTCTGTATGTTTGGGGTACTGTTATACGAATACAAGCTCAACATTTTTGCTCTTCTTTCCATACGTTTCAATCCTCTTAGCAGGTTGGTTATGAGATGGTGAGACCTCTTGTTTTAATCATGTTTTCTTTGTAACTGAACGGTCGGGAAATCTCTTTAGACCAGTGTGCTAGGATCTGGACAACCGATATTTCTTATCTTATCTTATCTTATCTTATCTGATCTTATCTTATTTCTTGAACGATAACCCAGAGCTATATTACAAGAACTAGTTCAGAGAACCATGGCATACGAAGCAGAGAAGAGAAGCGTGTCTAATCAATAATATCCGTTAGCAGTAGCTATTAGGTGTGTGAAGCACTTGAGTGGATACAAGCAAAACGAATAATAAAGAAAATAATGAAAATGTTAGTTTGCTAAAAAAAATATAAAAAATCTGAAAGAGCGAGGTACCAAACGAAAGCAGAATGCGAGTATCATTAAAAACTGCTATGAAACCGATATCATTATTGATAACTCAAACTATCTGAATGAATAAATAGGGCAAAGCGTGTCTTTAATGACAAAGTACTCTATTCTATTTCATTAGTCTTTTCATCCCTGATCTAAGGTTACGTTCTGAAGCATCAAGTCTTTTCTTTTCAGGACAGACAAGTCCAAATTTTAAGGGGGCATTTCTCACTTTTAAGAAAGTTGGAAATAATGTTTTTGTTTGTTCTGGTAAGTGTTTTACGGTACTTGCAACAGCATAAGGTCATATGAGCGCGCGGGACACATAAAACATTAAAGTTTTCAGTTTGGTAGGAATTTGGAATTTTGCCCAGGTGGCGGCTGAAGCCTACTCTTCACGATTTTAGGACAACCGTTGGATCTTTAACGTGTACAACGTGCACACGGGACCTCCAAGATTTTTCGCCCTTACCCGAGAAGGCTAAGTGTTAGATCTTACCTACCATAAGATCAGGGGTGTGGCTGAAAGACAGCAGTAAGAAGGAGCCAAGGAGTAACAGTAGAACAGTTGCAGAAAGAGCCAGGAACATAGAGGAGTGGGCTGGGGTGGGGGGTAGGGGCAGAAAGTGGAAATGAAAGCCGACGATAGACCATGGTTAGAGAGCAAGAAAGGGAGTGTAAGGTGACAATTTTAAAGAATAAAATATTCCGTCGTCGCCAGATTTCGAACCTGGGACCTATTGAATGAGAGGCGAACATCGTAACCGAGAGCCTCCCCCCTCTCCTCCCCTCTCCCCCCTCCCCCTCCCCCCTATATGTGCAGTAGAATTTTGGGAACAAAATATAACCCAGTCATGCAGAAGCCGTTCTGTCTGTAAATATTTAAGAATACTTCGAAATGTCACGTGAATGTCTAAAGGGTGAGGTACCATGCTTATCAATTTTGGCAGAAAAAGAGTCACCATGTTTCTTAAGACTACAAAGTCTCTACAAAGGCTTCCACGGAACCCTTCAACCAGTACAGAACAAGCTATTAATTGTTATTATCATTTTGATTGAAAGTCCAGTCTGCATCATTTAACCAGTTTTGCTTTTTGCTTTTCTGTTCCTTAGGTGCAAATGCGTGTTCCGACGACACCACTCCAATGGAGCGATGCCCTGAGGAGTTCGAGAGAAAAGCCAACCTGTTGGTGCCCGATATCGAAGCTGGCCGGAAGTCTCCGACTGCCATTTGCCCGTATGTCGTCTGTCATTGTTCTTTCTTTTTAGTTTTTAGCACACGTTGCTATAAAAACGTACTATTTGAGCACTTGTACAGGAAAGTCACTGGCGTATTCAACATCTTGCCCACGATATTGCAAAATTACACTTTTATCTGTCATTCTGAATTAGAATAAAATGCATGCCAGGTTTTATGTCAACTGTGAGAAATCCAACCATCTTGACCCCGAAAATTATGTGCTACAGCTTGGGTCAAATATTTGTTGGGTCGTCAAGGCCCGCGGAGGTCCATCGGCGCACTGAGCGAGAGCGCTAGAACTACGCCGGACCTCTTATTCCAGGCCTGCACCGATCTTTTACTAAATTAACCATGTGTCTTCTGCGAGGGGTGCAGAATATCAGACATAGAAACTTCGGATGAATACAGCCAACAGCCACGAAGTGAAGAGAATATTGTTAATGTTGGTTACCGTTTCTAACTAGAAGGCCGTACGTAGAATAAAGATAGGGAATATAAATAACAGGAGAAATGACGGCTAAGACCAAAAGGTCTAATTACATTTAAGTAATGCTTTGGAAACAGTCTTTAAAAAAAAGCAAAATTTTATTAATTAGATACTGACAATATATTATTATGATAGCCAAGAGACATTTGGGGGGGGGGGGGTTAGAAAGAAGGGTCAAATTTTGGTTGAACCCCCCCCCCCTACCCCTGCAGTCAAAGCAAAACAGAATTTAAAAACATAAAATTGATATAAGTATCAATAATGATTTGACAGTACGCATCAGATTTCCAAAACGACCAAAAAAAAATTAATTAATTAATGACCGCTTCTCTTTCATCTTTTTTTCTCCTCGACCCTGTGCCTGGTGCTCAGTCTTGCCGTTGAGATGGAGGAATGCATGATGCGAGTTGTGAACAACTTGTGCGATGAAATGACCAAGATGTTCATGCAGCCAATGGTGAGAAACCTGATGCAGGCCGCAAGAGACGAGGCCGGATGCACGTTTGTGGCTCGACGGGATACACGTGAGTAGTTACATAACATGGCTGTGCAAATATTGATATTACTAGTAAAAATAATATTTCCTTTTCTCAAGATTTCCACACTATTTTTATCGCACAAACCACCGCGCGTCATGTAATAAGTGAACGCATATTACTTTTTTACCATTGTGTTTTTGCTTTATCTCATGTACCTGATGAAGCCCGAACGGGACGAAATATGGAACACGCTTTTTAAAAATGTCATAACATTTCTGAAATTCCGTCTCCATATAATTTCTGCTTTTATTTTTGTGCTTACATTGATGATGATGATGATGATGATGATGATGAGGATGATGATGATGGTGATGATGATGATGAGGAGGAGGAGGAGGATGATGATGATGATGATGATGATGATGATGATGATGATGATGATGATGATAATGATGATGATGATGATGATGATGATGATGGTCCTGAGGAAATCCAATGGGAGAAACGTTAATTTATTAATTTAAAAATGTTTTAATTTTTTTTTTGGGGGGGGAGGGGGGGCGGTTGATACTATATATAAACTTCTTTCAACCTTTTACAAGTTCTCGTATTATATTTTGTTTGGGTTATTTTTTATACTGCTAAACAATGATACCCGTATGTTACGATAACAATAATATGAAGGGAGAGCTGACTATGGTAATTAACCCTGTTTCTTTACAACGTGTATAAGATGTGTTTTGGTTTCAACGCAAATTCTGTTGTTTTTTTAAACCGTTTATTGCGTTGTTTCTTATTCAACTTGATACTGTAAATTTTCCTTTCCATCAGTTTTGAGAGAAAGAAAACCATTCCAAACGACAAACATAATTTGTTCCTCAGGGACGAACCGCAGCAAATGTCGTAATATTTCTATTAATTGCTGGTTCGAATGTTATGGAGACAATAATAAGTTCCTTATCTGTGATATCTTGTACATATCTAATGTCTATGATTATAATCAATGATTATTAAACATTCCTCATCCTTTGGTTCTTGCCCATCCTCAGAGAAACTGGTGGCGCGGTCTCTGGCGTTGTCTAAGCAAAAGGTCGTGACAGTCTGAACAGTACCATGATGCGTCCTTGTCAAGTAGTGACTACAATTACTGCCACCTTTTGGGGGGTATTTTTGTTTTGATTGATTTGTTTTTCTTTTGGGGGCGGGAGGGGAGAATTGACGTTAATAATATTTTTGAATGAAAAGAAATAAAATGTTATGAAAATATTGTTTGCATTTCAATAGTCAGCCTTTTTCATCCTTTGTTCTTTGTACAATATTTTTATCACTTTAACCCTGTCAGTTCTAAATTGGCCAGTTCAAACGTTGGATGTTTACTCTTTGCTTGACCTGACCTTCGCCTGACAAATTGGAGCGAAATAGAAGACATAAGCTGCAGTGTCCAACTAGTATCGCATTTGAGAGTCGAGCCACCTGTTGATTATTGAGTGAACTGTTCAAATCCGTCCACCGACCTGCTATAATATTTGTAATGTGTTTTTTCTTTAGATTGAGAACACATTTATATCAAATCATCAACACCCTCCTAATAATCTGATGACTTATTCCTGTCTTTCGGGATCAGTTAGAGTTGAAACGACAGAGACACCTGTTGAAGTAAACAGAGTCAGTGCAGGCTGTAAATCGAAGAATTAGCTGTGAAAAATGAACATGACCCTTCGAGAGTTTGCATGACGCTGACAGCGATTTAAGTCCACTCTTGCGGCATGCAACATAAGAACACAGAATATGGTTGATTTTCCTGAAAAAGCAGACGACGTAGCCAAAGAAGGAGCCAGAATGACCCAGATTGAAGATGGCATGGATCTCTCAGAGTCAAAAACACTAATAAAAACTGCTATAAGAAACAGATGGAAAAGGTCCCACCCTAAGCACAACAGACATGACCCCTACTACATACTAAATAGAGCAGATCAGGTCACATTCTTTAGACTCCGTTGTGGCCACAACAGACTCAAACACCATATGCATACCAAATTAAAAGTGGGGGAAACAGCGATCTGTGAATGTGGATACGACCAAGAGGATGCCAACCATATCCTTTAGCACTGCCCACGCTACGCCACCCTTCGCTCACAGACGTGGCTGAATGTGGCTCCCCTTGAGACAAAACTCTATGGCAGTCTTTCAGAGTTGAAGCGATCTACACAGTTTGTACGCGATATCGGACTGACTACCTTGCGGGCTTTGGTGCTGGGGGGAACTGAGCCCTTATGGACCTGTTTGGTGTGCAATGACGTTGTTGCCCAAGACAGGTAATACAGGTAATACAGGACTGACTGTCTAGCTGCTGTCATCGAGAACGAGGAAGAAGAAGAAGAAGGTTGATTTTCCAACACCCCAAAACACTATGTAACTGTGTGTACATGTACATGCAAAGCAGGGTTCTTCGACTTTGGAGGGTAAAACCTCATACAAAGGTTCAAAAGGATAGAGTTGGATCGACACAGCCATTGGGTAAACGATTAGCATTTAAAGTTACTCATATTTAACACTCCTCTCCTTTTTTTCTGTTAGAAAAATCATCTTAGCTTATCAGAGGAGATATGGAGCCTATCGAAAGTTCTAATTAACATGAATCCCCCCCCCCTCTCTCTCTCTCTCTCTCTCTCTCTCTCTCTCTCTCTCTCTCTCTCTCTCTTTCTCTCTCTCTTCTCTCTCTCTTTCTATCTCTCTCCTCTCCCTCTCCCTCTCTCTCCTCCCCCTTCTCTCTCTCTCTCTCTGTCACACACACACACGCACACACACACACACACACACACACACACAAACACCCACGCACCCACCCTTTCTCCCTCTCTTTCTCCCTCTCTTTTTCTCTCTCTCTTCTCTCTCTTTCTCTCTCTCCTCTCCCTCTCCCTCCTCTCTCTCTGTCACACACACACACACACTAACACACACACACTCACACACACACACACACACACACACACACACACACACACAAACAAACACACACAAACACCCACACATCAAGTTTGGTGTCTTAATTATTTATTTATACGATTTTGCTCAAAAGTTTGGTGACATCAGCGACGAGCAAAGTGAACAATTTCTTAAATCCTTCACGATTATGGAAGGGAATATCCAGGCCAATGAGACACCAACATGATGGTAGATTACTGTTGAAGCATTCAAAGAAACTGTCACAACACACTCCAGACAATATCCCAAAAGTAAGTTTTTGTCTCCAACTTAAGTACATTTACTATTTTTTCATGTTGTACCCATTTGTTATTGTGAAATTAAGAATTGACATGATTTATCCAAATGAAAAAAATTATCTGATGTCTCACCCTTTTTGTCTCGATCATTTGTTATTATTGTAGCTAATCCAATTGCATACCGCAAAAACAGTGAATGTGCCATAGAAGAAAAAAAATTGACATGACAAAACAAAACTGTACCATTTTTGGCTTCAGCGACCTCGAATTTCTATAAATCAAGTCTCAAACCCAGTGCCGCAGAAAAAAATGTTTAGTGTTGTTACAAAGTCATCCATGCAGACTTGATGAAAAATAGGATGATGTGGAATCAGCTGTAATGTTGCAAATTACTGAGTTAACTCTTATACCAACTAAATTCCAGTATACTGTTTCGTTCAGAAACGGTGATTGGACCCCTGGTCAAGGACAGCCAAATGTTTCAAAGTCATTTTGGTTGTAGTATGAATGTCGGGGTAAAGGCTCAGAACAACTCTCACTCCATCTGACAGTGCTAGAACCCTTCCTTCTGATCACCCGCCATCTTTAACATGCAGACAATTGCTCCGTTCCTCGTTGCTGTTACCCTGATTGCAGGTAATTAGACCTAGCAAAGTTTTCAAGGTGTTCTAAATGTTCGGAGTACGATTTATTAAACGTATAAAGGTTCAATATTTTGCTTATCTTTCCTTACGTATTAAACCTCTTAACAGGTTGAGGTGGTGAGACGTCCTGCTTTAGTCCTGTCTCCCATGTAATGAAACCTGCTCGAGATAATGTGCTAGGATTTGTACAATAGAGACTTATCTCATCTAATCGTATTTCTTCAACGATAACTCACACCTATGTGACATGAATCAGTTGAGAGAATAGAAATGAAAATGTTCATTTGCCAAAAGAGCATCTGAATCTTTAGGCAATTACGTCTGAAAGATCGAGGTACCAAAGGAAAGCAGAAGGCGAGTATCATTGAAAACTGAATTGAAATGGTAATCAGAATTGATAACTCAAACTGTTTGAATGAATAAATAAAACGAAGTTTAATGAAACTAGAGGGTTGGGAGCACTGTGGTTGTCTTTCATGACAAAGCACTCTGTTCTGTTTTTATTAGTCATTTCATCTCTGATATCAGAACACGTTCATGAAGCTTCAAATCTTTTCTTCCATCTCTTATAAGGGAATTGCTCACGTCAAAGACACAACAAAATGTGAAAATAAAAGTGGGCACGAGTGATAGATTTTTGCAGACAAAATCAGAACCAGTCAAACAGAATCGATTCGTTCTATAATTTTTTTTAATACTACGAAACGTCACATGAATGTATGAAAGGTGTGAAGTCGTGTGTCTTAATTTTTTAAAGAAAAAAATCTCCATGGTTACCAAAACTGCAACGTCTCTACAAACATATCTGCGAAGACCTTCAATCTTTACGGAAAGTTAAAAAGGCAAGCCCGCGCATCATTTAATCATCTTTTAGAAAGTTTTATTTCTTAGGTGTTCTAACAACACTTCTCAAATGAAGCGATGTTCTGAGGATTTCAAAAGAAAATACAGCGTGTTAAATTCCCGATATCGATGCTGTCCGGGGGTTTCAGTCTGCCATTTGCCCGTGTGTCGTCTGTTATTGCCCTTTCTTTTTAGATTTTAGCTCGCTTTGCTATAGACAAAGATAGTACAAGACAAGATGGGTCACTCAGCCTAAAAAGTGTCCACAGGAAGTATGCTCTTTGCTTCAGATGGCGCTGCAGTCTGTTTTGAAGCTCTCTTTCGTTTTTCCAGAAGAAGAATAGGAATAGCACCTCCTTGCGTGCGCAGATCGACTGCTGTTCATCAGCAGTTCGAGTTCGTTCAGTGCAGAGTTTTAGGTTATTTATACTTTAATAACCTCTCGCCTTTCATTCTAAAGTCAAATTAAACGAAGAAAACAATCACCCTTTCCTCCGGAAGAGGTTTTTTGTCAGCGTAACCATTTTTAAAAAGCGTTCTTCCGAAATTTATCCCAAAACTTGCTAGTTTCACTTTGATTTTTAAAAACTCAAGTAGGGTAACTCTGTTCGCAAAGAGTGCGCTTTTGTGAAGAGGGCGCCACCAAATTTTGAGGACACTTTTTTAATTGGCTCAAAGAGAGAAGTGGCCCATCTTGTTATGTACTATCATTGCTATAGAACACACTATTCGAGTACTTGTATATGAAATTCATTGCCGCACTGAACACCTTGTCGGTCCATGACATTGCACATTACACGGTTTTGCTGTCATTCTGTAATAGGAACCAATGATAGCTTTCATTCAAGAAAATACCAACAGCTCTAATTACATTTTAAAAAATGCTCTGGAAGCAAGGCTAGAAAAGCGAGTATTGTTTCATTATTTTGATACTAACAATAATATAGTCGCCCTGAGAGACGGCTGTAGAAAGGAGCGGCGATTTTAGTTGGGTTTTCCCTTGTTAAACTGTGGGGAAAATACACTGTATTTAAAACTGAAATAGATCTAAATACCAACATGACATGAGCTTCACATTTTCTGAATCGACACGTTGATGATCGCTTCTCTTTCATCTTTTTTTTTTTGGTTCCTCGACTCTATACCTGGTGCTCAGTGTTACCCATGAGCTGGAGGAATGCAGGATGAGAGTTGTGGACAACTTGTGCGATGCAGAGAAAAAAGATGCTTTTGGGGCCAGCGGTTTCAAACCTGATGCAGCCCGCCAGGGAAGATGGCGGATGCTTGTTCGTGGCTCGCCGGGATACACGTGTGTTGTTTAATATTGCTTGTTATTGTTTCAAAGTCTCTCTCAGCAGGTTGATTAGGAGGGGAAGACACGTCTTGTTTTCATCCTGTCTTCCTGGTAACTGAACTGCATGGCTGGACGATAATGAAACCACCTCGTGACAACACCTGAATACCTCTTTGAGGATTTAAACCAAAGTCACACACGACTCCGTTCAGTACCATTCCATCAATGCACTCTACACAGGTGGAGTATATAAGAGGTGAA